GCCTGCACACCGACATTCCAAAACTTATGAAAGCTTGCAAAGAAACCTAACACTAAGATAGACAGCCCACAGATCAACAATTTTTTTTTTCCTTTTTGTCTTTTTTACTGACCGGTAATGGGATCGCAACCCTCGGTGTTGCGCCCACACCATGCTCAGCCAGTGAGCGGGAACTGTGGGATCCAAACCCTCAGTGGGAGCGCCACCACGCTCCCAAGCGGCGCACTCTCCAGTGCACCACCGGGCTGGAACAACAGATCAACAATTTTGACATAAGTTATCTGAGATTAAGTTGATTCTATGGAGGGTTCAACCAAAATTTCATAATAACCATGTTATGAATGATTAGAGAAACAAATGAAAAAGTTATGGAAAAAAAGGGGCAGAAATTCAGCGAGAAAATTAGAATAGGTGGATGAATAGGTGGATGTAGGGAAAAACTAATGAGAAATACTAAAAGAAAAGTCACTGAAATAAAAATGTATACACAGGATAAACTTTAGGTTGGACATAGTTAAAGAGAGCAGTAGTAAATTGGAAGAAATGCTGTGCTATTCATACAGAAGGTAGTAAAGACAATAAAATTTAAGCTATATCTGTCTAAATTTACATTTATGTTAAAGTTTTAAAATATACATATACATATATGCGGTTGACAAATGAAAATTATGTAGGAAGACCCCAATGCCTGTCTAAGAGGAGGTCCAGAAGCAGGGAATAGGAGGAACAGTGGGTGTGGTGGTTTAAATTAGTTTCCAGAAAATATTTACTCCCCCTCTCCTCCTGCCCTTCATGGGGTAGTGCACTTCCCTACTCAGTGTTGGATTCAGGTGTATGTGCTGTGTGGTCCGTGGAATATGAGCAGAAGTGACAGCTCCAAACCTAGAACTAAAAAATCGTTGCATAGTACCAATGACTGCTCTGGGAACTTCCATCCAACCATGGGTGGAAAACATAAGCTAGGTAGTTGCTGTTCTCAGATCCATGAGAGGCATAGGAAGCCAGCCAAAATTAAACCAATGGCTGGAGCCAAGTCTGGATCACACACCCCAGCCAAGGTGCAGACATGCTCTGAAACAGCCCCTTCAGTTCACCTGAAGAAGTGTAAGCAAGAAATGCAAGCTCGTTGTTTCACGCCACTGACCATGTGTGTGTGCATGTGTGTTCATGAAGGATCACTGTGGACAGAACTGGGGAAAAGCAACATCTGAAGAAAAAAATAGCTGAGAATCTTCCAAAATAGAAATGGGTAGAATGTGCATTCTGAGTAGAGAATTAATAAAGAAAAATGTATACTTAGACAAGCCCAGTGAGGCTTCGGAAAACTTTGTTAGAAAAAATATAGTTGAGTACCTGTGGTAATAAAAAGTAAGAATGTCCAGTCAAAGAATAAAAATAAAGTATATTGCTTCTAGAAGAGGGGCGAAATAAAGGTCTATACAATATCCATTCCATTAAAAAACAACAAAAATGAAAAAAGTAAAAACAATTAACAAAAGGTGTTATATAGAAACCACAGACTAAGATGATAGAAATGAGTTCAAATATGTGAGTAATTCCAATGACTGTTAATCAGCTAAAATCATATGCTTAAAAAAACAGGTATAATTAGGAAAAATACAGTTAAAGTGTATGTACAAGCGATTGCTAAAGCAAAACAGAGTGGGAAGTTGAAAATAAAGGGATGCAAAAAGATACACCCTGTGATTACCTAAAAAGAGCTGGTGCTGCACCAGACAAACTCGACAAACTGCATAGAAGCAAAACGTTGGTGCTGAAAACCGAAGACAAAATCAAAGATCAGAAGATACTATAATCCTGACTTTTGTGTGCTTCTACCTGAAAGCTTTAAAATACATAAAAGAAAAGCTGATAGAATTAGATGATGTAATCAAATCCGAAAATGGTAAATATTCAGGAGTAATGCATTGGTAAGTATATGGGTTATTTTTTTTAACATAATTGATACAATCTAATGGACACATACAAAATAATGACAGTATGCAGCAGATAAAGAATACTTATTATTCCCAAATGCAAAAAAAAGCCATTTCCAAAAACTATTTCAAAGAATGAATAAAAATCAGACATTTTCTCATAACAATGCAGTGTACTTAGAAATCATCAATTAAAAGGTAGCTTTGAAAATCTTATTCTTTTGGAAAAAAGAAAGCATCCTTAAATAATTAAGACATTCAAGAAATGTCATAATGGCAGTTACAAAACATTTTGAAATAAATAGCAATAAGAATAATCCTGACGTAAGCAAAAGGAATTAGAATAAAAGCAGGAAGAAGATAATGAAATATAAGAGCAATGAAAGAGAGGGCCAAATAGGTCTTTGAAAAAAATTAATTTAATAGAGAAACGTGCAGCAAATCTAATCAAGGAAAAAAGAGAAGGGGCAGAAGACGTGCTTGTGACACAAGGTACTTAAAGGAGGTGTAACCGGGTGGAGCATATATTTATCTATCTTTTGTTTGTTTTTTAATTGCATATATTTATGATGTACAACATGACATTTTTATATACCAATTAATGGTGAGATGATTACTGCAATCAAGCAAATTAATATGTCTATCTGTACACCTAGTTACTTTTGCGTGTGTGCGTGCGTGTGTGTGTGTGTGTGTGTGTGTGTGTGTGTGTTAACAGCACCTCAAATTTCTTTTGGCAAATTTCCAGTGTACAGTAGTATGAAGTACAGCCCTCATGCTGTACCTTAGATCTCTAAACTTTTTCATCCTACCTAACTGCAACTCTGTACCCTTTGACCAACATATTCTTACTTCCTTCACCTCCCAGACTCTGGTATCACTGTTCTGCTCTGTTTCTCATGTATTTGACTTTTTTTAGATTCCACATACAAGGGGGATCATGCAGTACTTTTCTTTCTGTGTCTGAAATAGACATTAAAAAAAATCACAATGGCAGAGTGCAATAAATGTTTTGAACACAACTGGAGGCCTAGTTGACATGAATAATTTTATAGCAAGGTATACATTACCAAAACTGAGTTCAGAAAGAACGCACAAGCTGACAAAATGAAGAGCCACCAATAAACGGAAACAGCCATTGAAATGATCATCCCCAATGGAAAGGGGAGCTACAATCTGATCCATAACTCAGCTGAATCTATGCAAGGGCATAACAATCTACATAAGAAACATTACAAAAATTAGAATGAAACATAGAGTCCATATCAATAATTCATATTGATACAATGTCATAAATTTCCCCCCATAAATTTTCCTTCATCATCCATGTTTTCCATCTGTCTTGTGTCATTCTGGTTGGAATTTCTAATGCATTGTCCATCTGCCCATTAAGTTGAACTGTAGAAGTTCCTTTCCCAGGTAGACTTTAGTGTTTCACAGAGTTCGTCAGTGTGCTCCTGTGCCTTGCATCATTATGTCTCTGTGTTCAATCCTCCCAAGTAGCCTACAGACCGGACCATCCCTGGCAACCGCCACTGTGCCCAGCATGAGGAGATACCTGGATATTGGCTCCCTTCCTGCAGTAACCAGCAGTTGTAAGCCATGATGTCTGGGCCAAGTCCCTCCTGGCTGCCGGCTGACTGCAGCCTAACTTGGCACACTGACACATTCCCAGGTCCTTGGACTGCTTGAGGGCAGTCGGTAGAACATGTTCTCTCACTGTCCTGCCTGGCTGTGTGCCCGCTGTGCCTCCAGTCACTGGCAGCTCAGGCCATCCAGCCTGGGGCTTCTAAATAAAAGTGAGGTGTGCCCAGAGGCCCCAGACCACACTCACAGTTGCTGCAGGTGCCGCCTGATCTGCTCGTGTCTCTATCAAACCACTAAGAATTTGTTCTTTCAACGTGCTTATTTTCTGAAGACACTTTAGAACCACGTTTGTTCTTTTAAAAAAGAACAAATTGGAGCAAACAAATACGTGAGTGGTTGCATCATGGCTATGTTAACACTTTTCTCTGACCTTCGTAGAACAAGTTGTGTGCATTGTTTGTAGGTGGATATATTGTTTTTCTTTCTTTTCCAATGAAATACTAGCTGAGTGTATTTTTTTGTTCGTTTCTTGCAGTATATTTGATTGCAGTTTTGTGTAAACTTTTAATATCCTTTTATCAGATATTTATTTGAGAATAAATCATGTTGCTTTGCATAAAATACTCACGTGGGAAAAGGAAAACGAAACTCCATGTGGTTAGAATCAGCATCTGTCTCCCTTCTCTGTTCCTCAGCTGCTGCTCACAGCCTCTCGGTGCTGTCAGTGAAGCCATGGCCTCGGTGCCCTCCGTCGGTTGTCTTCTGGCCAAAAATCAGTATTATCAAAGTAAGTTGTGTCATCACTGGAGGATACCCCTAGACAATATGATCTGAGGTGATGTTTGCAGGAGATTGTTGACCTGTGTATCATTTTACGTTCAGAACTTAAGGGAGAAAACCGACAGCTGTTGCGGTGATAGTGCAGAAAACGGGAGTAGACTTCAGAGACCTCTCTCAACCAAGGCTCATCCCTCAGCTTTAGCTATGTGATATCGATGAAGGTGTTAACATAAATATGTGAGAATAAGATTATGTGTCATGATTATATTTTAATTTATCATACTTTGCTTTTCATAGGATGCATTAAAAAAGATCATTTTATGTAAATAAAATAGTCTTCAATTCCTTAGAAAGTAGGTAATTGCATGACTCTACTTCAAGAATTTTCTAATTTTCATTTTCTGCTATGGATAATAGGTCAGCATTTATCTGGCCAGTTTTATTTTTATTAATCTAACCATCCGTGCATATTCATAGCTGAATAGAAAATTGTAGCTTCTTAAAAAAGATTGAGAAATTTTATAAAATGAAATGAGCATTTCAGAACCAAATTAACATTTGTTGAAAGTATCGATGCCAAGAAAATGTAGAAAGCTCTTATTTCAAGGGTTGTTTGTAGCATAAGAGTTAGAAACACCTATTGACTTATTCTTTTACAAAAAGGTTAAACTATGCCCATTTACCTGGTGTTATTTTATAAATGGACGTTATTTTTATGTTCTGATCTTTAAAAAGACTTATAGGTTTAAAATACAAATCTAATAGAACAAAATACATATTCTTTTAAAATAATTCCTTAATTTCTAAATTTGATAACTTTTGTAAGATTGTAAATATATATATATAGTATTTTCTAGGGTAGTACAATAGAATTCATTCTTGATTTTGTACTTCCTAAGTTTTTATATTTAACATTGGAATATATTTTAAATTGTACATTTATATCTGTAGAGTGAGAGAGAGAGAGGGTTGTCTGCTATGGAAATGAGTATATCTTATTAGTAGAAAATGTAGTATTCTTTATTATGGAAGCTTTTTCATTGATTGATAATTTGATCAGTTTTTTGCTTCATGAATTTATAAGTCCAAATTAAATTATTTCAGGCCAGGCTACTTGAGAGTCCCTGCATGAGTGACACGTGTGTGCTTGTCTGTGAGCCAGATATTTATCTGTTTATCATCACTTACTTCCTACAGAGTCCAGTATTTCTTCAGTTAGTTCTTTAACTGGTTCTTATTCTGTTAACCTCCTAGATGATGGCAAATCCCAACAAGGTACTTAATTTATTTCTACTCGGTGTCACCCTCATTATTTCCCTTTGTTTTTCATCTCTCAAATTTGTTTGATAAGGAAGTGCTATAAATTTTATTTGATAGGGTTACCAGAAGCAGCAGAATCCAGCTGGTGGTTTATATCCTTTTTCTATTTTGAACCTGTACTTTCAAATGAGAGAATAAAAGATGCATCTGCTAGTGGGTGAGTTTTAGCCTTTTCTCATAAGGACATTTCTTCCATGGTGAATGAAACAACGCGTGTAGTAATCGTTGTGTAGCTGGTCAGGGCACCATAGGCCTGTGTCTTGAAGGCAGTGAGGCTTTGACATAAAGGGAGGGGATGACACGGGGGGGAGGGTTCCCTCAGTTTAGTCAACCATCGCTCCTTCTAATTCAGTCACAGAAGAATGATCATTGGAAAGTCATGTGCCAGTTCTTGTCATTGCTTGGGGGGGAATGGATTTGGAATCAGAGGCAAGGTTCTAAATTTGCTTTTCCAATACCTCAGGAAAAGAGTAACCATTGCCTAGCTGCTATCCTGGATCACCCGACTGCTGGTTTTGACTAGCTACTGTATTACGCCAGTTACTAGAAGGAAGATTGAATTGGTGGGTTTGTAGATAGTGATTTCCATTCAGTTTGAATTTTAACACACCAAATAACACAGTTGTTATTCTAATTTTTAAAAAGTACTTGATTTATTTTTTAGACACTTTAATGACTAGTTGAATAAATAATAATGAAGTCCATGGATTCTGATGTTAAAGCATAATGGTTTTGATTAATTTTCTGCATAAGTTTGAAATAGGATCAATGTTTAAAATAATTTTTAAAATCAATGTAAGGCTAATTGTTGAAAAAAGGTTTTCTTTACTCTATCAAGTTTATTGATTTGAATTATCTAGGAAGTGTTTTCTTTATTTCTCCACCTTACTTTGACTATAAAAACAACCTAAATTACCGATAAGCACATTACAGCTAATCATCTTTGTGCTGCTATTCGATGAACATCTTGGTAATAGCTGACTATTTTATACAGCACTGATAGTTGAATCTGACAGTCAAGACACTCTACCTGCTGCGGTGCTACACAGGTGGACCCTGCCCTTGAGCGCTCCAGCTATTCTGAGGACTCCTCTCCATTGTAAGAGGACAAAAACCTGCTTGAGACCTCATCTATGAGACAAGCACACATCGGCCTCCGATAGAGAAACATTTGGGCATTATTCTCAATGCTAAGATTATCGCTGGGAGTGGCATCAGCTACATGAAGGATATTTGAAAAGCATGCCTTTAGAAACATGTGACCTTTTAAAGCACTGAGAGTCTTTAAATGTACAGATTTATATGAAGTAGCCCTCTCATTATCTGTATTATTTTCATTTAAAAAATTTGTTAGACTCTTTTTATGTCTGCTGAATGATTTATTATGGTTTAAAGGGCTCTGGATTCAGAAATATAGAAAAGAGTTGCAAAAATTGCATTTTTAATCAGGAAAGTTGGAAATAGCAAACACATTCGTAAAAATTTTAAATTAAATTAAACCTAAATTAATTAAATTAACATTAAATTAAATTAAATACCTGTTAAATACAATACCACACATATAATTTGGTTATTGTGTAGACTTTAAAATTTATGATTATAAATAATATTTAAAAACATGGAAAACTATACAATGTGAGTGAAAAAAGCAGGATAATGTACTATCAATGAGGTGATTTTCATTGTGTTCAAAAGTTACATATGTATAAGAATAGACTGGAAGGAACTATAGCAAAATGGTAACAGAGACTATCTCTGGAGATAAGGTCATTACGGGTGAGTTTCATTTTCTTCCTTACATATTTGTCTGTATCTTCAAATTTCCTACTATGACAAGTTTTTGTGTATAAGTAGAAAATAATAAATGTTAACATAAAAAGAAACACTGAAATAAATTTTCTCAATGTGTATATTCTCTACATTGAGTAGAATATTCCCTGTTTCCCTCTATATTGGGTAGATAATACTTTATGAGTTTCATTTGAAAAGTTTTGTACACAGTTTGTAAATATTTTTTGATTTAGATATTAGGGGTACCTAACTCACTTAGAGGTAGGTATCACTACGGTCTTATGTGGTTAATGTTGCACTGAACATGCAACGGAGCACACATGATCATTTGTTAGTAGGACTATCTTCCTACCCAACTACATGACCACAACAGAGCATCAAGACTGCCCATTCATCGTGATGGACACACTACTGACTGATCATTTACTCTTTCCAAATGGGAAAGGCATTTCTTCAATTTTATGTTTCCCTGTCACTTCACTGTCTAGTGAAGGGACTCAAATATCACTTTGTCCCATATCATTGTTTACCTATTATTGCTTTCTTGTTATTGCCTACACGCATGCTTCCTTTTTATATATTTGGAGAGGCAGATTAAATTTTTGGAGTATATATTTCATTTGGTTTTAGTCTAAAATTAAATCACAGCGATTAAAGACTGATTATTTTTAAAGTGAGAGAAAAATATGATGAAACAAAATGGTGAATTGTGGGAGGTTCTGTGTTAACTTTAGTAGTATCAACAAATTCCTTTTTTCTTAACCACTTGGTATACGTATGAACAGATTTTTTAGGTCATTTGATGAGTTTCCCAAAGTAGGTTAGTGTGTTAGTGCATTTTCTGTTGCTTCTAAAAGAATACCTGAAACTGGGTAATTTATAAAGAAACAGAATTTAGTTCTTTCAGTTTTGGAGGCTGGAAAGTCCAGGACCCAGGAAACGCATCTGGTAAGGTCCTTCTTCCTGGTGAGGAGTCTCTGCAGTGTCCTGTGGTGATGTGGAGTATCACACAGCAAGAGCTCAGCAAGAGCATGCTAGCATGCTTCTTCCTCTCCTTGTAAAGCCAGGAGCCCACTCCCATGATAACCCACTTATCCACAGAATGGATTAACCTACTCATGAGGGCATAATCCTCACTATCCAATCACCTCCCAATGGCTGCACATTTCAATACTGCCACATTGAGATCGAGCTTCCACACGAGGTTTGGAGGGGACAAACATTCAGACCACAACAGTTAGCAAGTTGGTATTTACCTTGTTTACTCAGAAAGATATCATTTGTTAAATTGCATTTTTTTGGTGGGCTTATGTTTTGTAGCATTTTGAATATGCCAAAAAATACAGCTTTTATATTAGTTTGGATTAGTGTTGCTGCTTCTGAAAGTTATCTAAAGTAGTTGAGTTTTAAGACTTTAAATCAAACATACTGTGAGTATATATAGCTATAAAGCATGTCATAAAACATTTTAGAGTGGTTGTGTATACACACGCACATACACACATACATGTGTGTGAAGACAGACAGACAGATACATGGATAGAAGAAAGGATGTTTCTGGATAGATATCCTGAAGGAAAAGAATATAAGGAATCTTTTTGGGAAAGTTAAAGTGAACTCCTAAGATGATTAAAAATTGGAAGGATTCCTGCAGCTGTCCCATAGTTTCTACAGAGTTAGGATGAAAATGAATAGAACAAACAGTCTTCAATTAAATCTAGGTAATTTCTTCTAATGTACTAGAAAACACTTTGGCACTGTCTTTAAAAAGTACCTCACAGATAGGTCTCTGCATAACTGTGTTATTTTAATTAAAACATCTCCTGCCTGCCTTTGCTGCCTGCCGGGTGTATAATCCACAGTGAAGGCTAGATGTGTAAGGAGGTGTCGTAACTCCAGCTTACTGGAGGTGTGCTGTGACCATTCTGATCTGATATAACAAAATGTTATTTGACTTGGTTAGGATGTCATATGAAATGCAACAGGCTTTCACAATTTCTTCTCAGGTATTGTGAAATTATATGCTGGGGTTCCTTCCACTGTTTTTTAAAATCGTGGAAGGTTTTGATAGCAGGTTCCAAGTTATTGACCCCACGTCCTTTACAGATAAAACCACCAGTAGCCAACCCATCAATCCTCACTACAGTAAAAATTCTTTAACTGAAATTTGTCTACTTGGTGATTCACACATTTTGTGGAATTTAGGGATCTATGAAGCAAAGCTGCAGAATTCTATTTGGCTATTAAAGGGTGATGATAGCCAAAATTACTTTAAAGAGTGAAAATAATTTGTCAGATTGAATGAATAGAGCTAAAAGTCTGACTCATGGAAACTTAAGAAATGTGAAGAGTCACAATTTGTGCAATTTGCCTATGAAATCCTCTCACTTAACATGTCAAAGCCAAGCTCATGACCTTAATGCCTTCCAATGTCTCCTTGTAGCATCTTCTCTCTTGGAGAGTGACAGCACCACTGCTCATCAGCTCAAGCAAGTGGCAAGCTGTCCTTGACACCTTCCTTCATCTCCAGTCCAACACCAAGTCCTTTCAGTTTTATTTCTTTAATGTTTCTGGGATCTGTCTACTTACTTTCGTTTCCACCAGCACTACCTGAATCCAGAGTTCCATCACTTCTACCCTGGGATACTGCCATGACCTCTGAAGTGGTCTACCTACACCATTTTTATCTCTCTCCCAGTGAATGCCCTCCACAGAGTCGCCACATCATCTTTACAGTTGTACTCCCCTGTGAACACACAAGTACAGACATTCACACGTTCACACACACACACATATACACACACGCACTCTCTCTCTCTCTCACACCCACACACACACATTCACACACACACAGGATTCGATAGCTCCTGTTGTGTCCTGGCTAAAGCCCAGCGCAGTCCAGCCCTGCCAGTCCCCCCATCCATTC